GAAAAACTACATGGCCAAAAAACAAACAAACAAACAAACAAACAAAAACTACGTGGCAAAGGGTGTGGATGGAGGGAGAGTGAAGACCTGGAGCCAGTAATGCAACTTATTTATGTATATTAAGGTACCCATTGACTCTTGTTGAGTCAGATGCCTCTAAATGGACTCCTTGAGCTATTCAAGTTTCTATTCAATAATTACTATCCTAAGTCATAAAGTAGAGCAGGCAGAAACAAGCTACGTCCATGTGTGTTCATCCACAAACACAGTTAACCGATATAGGCAATTTAGAAATACTATAAAATGTACAGAATAAGAAAAAGAAGTCACACGTTCTGAATTATTATTCAGAGATCTTTACTATTTTGTCATTTTTTGTTTGTCCCTTTTTTATCACTTTCATTAATAGTATATCCAAGTTTTCTTCTTAATATTCTATCACAAGCCTTTTCTTTGTTATTAAAAAGACTTTATAATGTAATATTAGTGTCTGCTTAAATATTCCATTGTATGGGTGCACCATTACTGACTTAAACTTTCTCTTGCTGTTTAATGTTTTGGTTATTTCCAGTGTTTTATGATTATAAATAATGCTGCAGTCAGCATATTAGTGCATAAATCTTTATCCACAGGCTGAGTTATATCTTTAATGGAAAGAATACTGGCCAGAGTGCAGGGATTTGGGTTCTGCCACTAATTTGCCATGTGATCTAGTCCTATGTGTCTGTTTCTTCATCTATAAAATGATGTCTTTGAACTTGTGGTCTTAACCTTCTTTCTAACTCTTACACAGCTTTCAAGATAGAGGTCTAAATTGTTGTATTGGAGTAAGCAGGAAGGCAACACCAGTTGTTTGTCCTCAAAAAAAGCTCAGAGTGCAGAGGCAGCCTCCTTGGTCTTCTCACTTAGTGGAGTTCAGTCGTCTTTGAAGGATGAGGTTTCCTTTTTCAGTTCAGGTATTATCCGATGCCCTGTAGTCACCATTCCCTGAGACAACAGTGACTATATCTAAATGTTTTTAAATAGGGCTATATGACACTGAGTTTTAAAATATAAACCATCCTAACCTATTTTATGAATGTGCATGCTTTTAATATGGTTTTGCTACATTGGAAGGGCTGATTTCATCACCCATCTGCATTTTGTCATATAATTTTGTGTTCCTTTTTTGTGTTTACTTTTGCCTTTTCTGTTGTTTGCCTTGTGAGTTGTTTCATCATAGCCATCTTAACTGCACAGTTATGGGATTTGGCCTTATCTCACCATTTCTTGGTAATTGCGTGTGACCTTTTTCTCAGGCTTGCTTCCTTACTGTTCATTTCAATATGTACTCAGACCATATATCACCTTACTATCTCTCTTCCAGCCTCTGCCAGGAGTAAATATTGCTCAACTTAGACGGGCTTTATATGTTGACTTCAAAAAGCAGAGGCGTCAACGTATCATTGCTGAATGGAGAAAGTGGGATCTGTGGTCTCTCTCTGTCTCCACCCTTCCCCGACTCTGTCTTAAACGTGTCTTCCTTGCAATGGACAGAATCTTCTAGTTCCTGAGCTCCTTTTGGGAGAGGTGTTAGAATCTTCCTTTAGCTCCTGGTCCACTTGCTTCTCTAAGTTGAGCTGGGACGCCCCTCTGACCAGCAGAATTCGGTGTCAAGTCCAGTGTGGTCTCCCTCCTCTGGCCACCATCAAAAGGCCTTTTGTTCCCTGCCCCCACCTCTTCCCACACTGTGTGAGTGATGGAAATCCCCCCATTACACCACAGCATTCATCAGCTCATAGAACTTTCTCTAAAAGCTCAACATCTTCAACCAACCGGTCTTGCCCCCCACCCTTTTTTTTTTAAACCTCAGAAAATAAATTGGGATCAGAATAATTAATCAAGTCAATTATTAATTGGATTTGGGGGGAAAATAATTTTCCTTTGTGAATGTAAACCTAACTTTTTCTGTGCTTGGAGCAAGTTGCTTATGAAATACAATTTTAATCACTGTGAACTTTAGTTTTGAACTTCTGTGCCTGCCCTGCCCCACCCGCCTCAGCAGTTCTGAATGATTTTCATGTATCTTTTCATAAAAAAACTGGACTCAAAAGTAACTTCATACAAACGGCTTTCATGTGAACGACTTGGCTTCTCTGAACAATAATGAGTCACTAAGCATGTGGTGTGTTTGAACATTTTCATAAAGCAAAGGAGCATATCTTTGCTTTATTTCAGCCTCATTTTAGTAAAACTGGTATCAAGTAAGGAATGGGGACTGTGGGGACTTTGGGAACCACTAGCTTGTTTTTTCTTGTTTTGTGCCTGTTTCCAACCTGCTTTTTTTTCCCTTTCCTTCCCTGCTGTTTCAGGGCTGTGCTGCGGTCCTAGCTCTGAAGTAATTTGGTGAGAGATACGTGGTACTGCTTAGACTCCTAGAAGAATGTGCGTGAAGTGAGAGAGCTGCTGTCTGTTCTGTCTTGTTGCCTGGCTGTTATCTTCAGGCCTGATAATGATCATAAAAGCCAGTGGCAGGACAAGACCCAGGCTCACCAAGATCCAGCCCTTTTCCCTGGATGAGTATTTAATCCATTTCAGCAAAGGGCAGATGTTTGTTATAAACTCTAAATTTTCCCTAAGGGCTGATCAAAGTCTGTGGAAGTCTAGGTTAGATTTAAGGCATGGGTGGGATCACAGGGAAAACAGAAGAGGGCAAAAAAAAAAAATGGGAGGGGAAAAGAGAAAAAAGAAACCAAATAACTGTCCATTGGGGGAAGGAGAGAAATCTACTAACTATGGTTTCCTCTCCTCTCTTCTGAGACCTTGGTTGCCAACCAGTTGTTTCTTTCTTATTTTTAAATGTGCTTAGTTTTTTTACTTTTGAATAGATAACACATTCACATGGTTTGAAAACCAAAAAATATAACTCATTATACATTGAAAATCCTCCCTCCCATCCTGTTCCCCATCTACCAGTCTCCTTCCTGCCCTGCCTAGGAGCCGAGTTTCTTTTTTTCATATGTCACCCTTCCAGAGTTTCTTTAGGCATGCTCACATGCAAGCGAGTTCAAGAACAGATTCTTACTTTGCCATTCGTTCTTTTATCCGTTTATCTTCTCTCTCACATACTCACTTTATTTCCTTTCATTCTACTCTCAATAATTCTTTGTTGGAGTTTTTGTCAAGAAGAAAGATCAGTGGTTGTTTGTTTTGCTTTTTTCTGATGCCCTGAGAAAATTTATGTGTATGCTTGTCTCATCCCGCAGATGAGGTGGAAGGTGAGAAATGGTACCTGTCTACAGACTTCCCTTCAACCACCATCAAGACAGAACCCATTACCGATGAGCCACCTCCAGGACTTGTTCCCTCTGTCACTCTGACCATCACAGCCATCTCCACCCCTTTTGAAAAGGAGGAACCCCCTCTGGAAATGAGCACTGGGGTATACTCAATTTTCTTACATATAAACAGGTTGGATCAAAAGATACAAATCCCCATTCTCCAATAGGCACTTAATCTTTTTAGAACTATATATATTTAAGGATATATAATTATGTATACACACACACACACACACACACACACACACACGTGTATATCAAGGACACGTTGATTTGGTATCAGCATTGATTATGTCACTTCCTTTAAAGCCATTGTCCAGAAAACTTGGTAGCAAAGCTGATTTCATTTTTGACTTGATTGCTACTACAAAATAAAAAACATAGATGAATATCCATGGTAAAAAAAAAAATCCTTTGTCGTATGGTTTAAAGTCAGGTAGTGTTATGCCTCCAGCTTTATTTTTTTTTGCTCAGAATTGCTTTGGCTATGTGTGGTCTTTTGTTATTCCATATAAATGTCTGGATAGTTTTTCCGTTTCTGAGAAAAATGTCATTGGAATTTTGATGGGGATTGCATTGAATTTGTATATCACTTTCGGTAGTATGGACATTTTCACAATGTTGATTCTTCCAACCCAAGAGCATGGGATATCTTTCCATCTTCTTGTGTCCTCTTTAATTTCTCTCAGCAGTGTTATGTAGTTCTCATTATAGAGATTTTTTCACATCCTTGGTTAACTCTATTCCTAAGCTATAATAACCAAAACAGCATGGTACTGGCATATAAACAGACACACTGATTAATGGAATAAAATAGAGAATAGAGAAATCAACCCACACACCTACAG